CAAACTTGAAAATTATGGTTAACGTTAGTGTTTGTGATAATCATTCGATTTCTTTCTTGCGCTACTTCTACTCAAATTTCTTCGCAAAATTCAAACTAAGTTTTAAAAACTAAAAGAAAGTAGTTTTTATTTTAAGGATTTGGCTATGAACTTAAATGTTTCTGAAAATCAATGTACAAACATAATTTTCAAAACCAAAAACAAAATACAAAATGATTATCGAGCTATCTCAAGTTGACCCATTTGAAATCATTACTCGTAACATCGATTTGGAAGATGCATAGGCTTCATTATTTTAAGAAACTGTAAGGCAAAATCAGAAAAAGATAAATAAACTACATTTAAACATGTGACTAATAGGTAGGATGAATAAATTGATACAAAACAAAGAGGCAACAGAACATTCTCCTCAAGAAGCTGATGAAAAGGTAATAAACTTGAACAAAGCAAACAATAATCAACCCCAAATCAGGAAATTACAGCACGTAAACCAACTTCAATAAGCTGATCAATCAATCAATCAATCAATCATCATGGAATTAAATTACTGCATTGACTATCATTCCGTATTAAGAGCTCCAAGTTCTGTATAATTATCCTCCAAACAGCTACTTTGAACTTATCAAATATATCCGAACAGTTCAGCAAAATTTATTGACCTTACCAGCCGAGCAGCAAAATTTGAGGCGTCAAAGTTGACGAGTCTTTCTCCACTCGACATCAGAAGGGCCCTCCACTACTTCAATGCTCGTTGAATCCCTCGCCCAGTGGATGAAACAGGACAATTTCACGCGCGGCACAATCGCATCCATATCGGCGTCTTGCTCTGAATCCGAAACTCGCAAACAAATTAGGAGAAAATAACGAAACAGCCCCATTTTCTGGAGTCTTTTTTGGCCGTCGATTTTCGGGAACTTGTCGCTGTTGGACTTCGATGTAGAATACTTGAGGGCCAGGGAGGTCCCCAAAATTGACCGTAGATTGAAAGAGAAAATGCTCGTAATGATTTTCTTTTCTTGCTTCAAATTCTTCTGAACTAGTTCTTTTCAGCGAATCCTCTTCGATTCCTGAAATTAAACGATCTGCTAGGATGTAAACTTTTTTGTTGATGAATCGCCTCTCTGAATCATTCCTTGAGGCTGAAGAAAATCAATGCATAACTCTGAACTTGAATGTTCTTCACATGCTTTCATGGATTTTACAGATTCATACAAATTTCGTTTCCAATGAAATGAAAAATATGGTAAAATTCTTATGGAGTTTCTTCAAATGGATTAAGGATTAAATGTATTCATAAACTATTATTCTAATTTAAATTTAAAAAACTAATATTTTACCTCATGATTAAATTATAAGAAATATTTTAAATCCAAACGAATATTTGTCAATAATGTGGCCCTTCCCCAACCCTTACTGTCCAACTGGATAGCGGACATCTAATGTGTTCCACACAACCGAAGGCATTCTACCCAATAACGCGGATACTTAGGATCCCGATAAAAAGATATACCTTGGTTATATTTCATCTCTTCAACACTTTTAGTAACGAGCATAAACGGCCAAAATATCAAGTGGATCGATAAAATTTTTTAGAAAGTCTTTAATTTGTTCGAGAGTATGGTATGGGTTACTTCAGCCCTGTAGCGCACTATGTTAAATATCGTCCAACAAATTGTTTATCAATGATCGAAGAATGTGAACTTTCTACTTATGAACGTCACGAATTGAGTTATAATCAAATTTCTCGAAAAGCATCACTAGCTTACGCTCTAACCCGAATAGCATGGGACACGTGGAATCCCGTGTGAATTAGCAAGGACGACCCGTAAAACTTACTCGAATAAGCAGTATTATTGAACATGACAACAAAATTATAATAAAAATATAAATTAATTCATTTATAAGAATTTAAGATTTAAATTTATACCATTTTTAATTTACAACCTAAATTATAAATTAATTTTTGTTCAAAAAAAGAAAACATTAGATATTTTAAAATTGAAATTAGTAGGTCTAAGTTGATGTCAACCATTTAATTTGCTCTTAAATTTAAATTAATTGATTTGACATACATACATGAGTCAATTAATTTAAAATTATATTTATTAAAAATCAAGATCTACTAAATCATACAAATAAATTATTATTATATTCCTTTCCCTTTCTCTCTCCTCATTAAATTATAATATAAAAATATAAAAATTTGTTTAATAACACTTCTATCTCTCATATTTTTTTAATTTCTATTTCCCTTATTTAAAAAATTTTATTAAACATAAAATCAACCCTTTAACCAATTATTTAATGTTTTTAAATTCAAAGGTATATTTATTATATACTTTTATAAGTTTAATAACATAAATTAATTAAACATTAAATTTGTAATTTAATCAAATATTTTTAAATTATATTCAAATTAAAAGAAAAAGAATAAATTTTTATATTCGAGTATGTCGTATTTACTCGTCTTTTTAATAAATTTGAAACAAATTGTACTTCACAAGTTTTTATATATATATAGTTTTTATTTTTTATAATAAAAAAGTAAAAAGAAATTACAAGAAACATTATCCCAACCTTAGAAACCAATCCAAAGGATAACAGACGGAGCTTTCGACACGCAATAGTCACATCCCCTAATAAATTAGACCGTTGCAACTTGCAACACAAATAAATATAATTAAGAAATAGTCTCTTTTTTTTTTTAATATATATATATATTTAATTTCATATATCCAAATCAAATTTCTTTTTCTCTTCATCCTTTGTCCTAGTTTGAAATTAGTAGTCATAAGAAAAGGAAAACACAATTTTTTTTTAATTCTCAAAATAAATTAAAAAACCATTTTGATTTTTTTTTTTTCATTTTAGTCCTAATTAAAATTTAATTATCCCATTTTTTAATAATTATTAAAGTTAGTTCCTAAAAAAATATTTGCATAAATATTATATTATATATATCTTATTTCCCATTTTTCGATGAAATATGAAATTTTGACATCATTATTTATTATTTATTATTTTTATTTTTTAAATTTAAGAGTTAAAAATAAATAAAAATATGATTTAATTTTAGGATAAATATTCGAACCACAATTCATAATATCTAGATAGAATATACGTTGCTAAAAAACAAAAGTAACCGAACAACAACATCGAATTAATTCACGATGATTTTTCAACGAAAAGATATGAAAGAAACGTTATTAATTAATTAAGTTCAATCATAACACGTAGTAGAACTCGTAAAATATCTTATATGTATCGAACAGAAATATCTCATAATAACCTTGAACTTGACCCGACAATATATTTGAATCGAGACCGGAGTAGCGGGAGTAGCTAGCTATGTGTATGTGGCTTTAATGTGGTCCAAATTTGTTGTCCTTTGTAATGGCTTGGAATTGATTGCATCCCAACCCCCTCTTTGTAATGCCAACTTGCAATGGCAAAAAGGTAATGCAATTGGATGGTAGGGCCATGATCATGTTTGATACTCGAATTAAATGAAAATAAGCTTAAATGCATTATTATTATTTTTTTCTTTAATGGTCATTTATTGATTATTATTTTAACCTAAAAATAGGTGCATTAAAAAATATTGATATATAATTAGCATAAATTTTATTTAACACCTGAATCATATTTTTTTTTAAAATCTAAATAAAATTCTAATTAAATCTATTAAACCTATTTTTCAAGAGGTCAGATATTTGAATCTCTTATATTTCGAATTAATGGCTATTTTTATTTAAAATAATAATAATAACAATACTTTGCTAAATATCCCATAAAATATACACGAAGTGGGCCCCACGAGGAGATGAAGGATTTGGATTGGGCTTTGACTGAGCCCATTTTGTGAAAAACCATGGGCCCTGATCTTGCCTTTCTGAGAATCACAGGCCCAATATATATATATATATATATATATATATATATATTTTTTTTTTTTAATAGTGTATTTTAAAAAATAAATATAGAGAATTGTTATCGGCTCCTTCATTTGGTGCTGTTTTCTTTTATTATTATTAATAATATCAAATTATCTCTATTAATTTTAAATTTCATGGTTATGAACATTGATTTTTTTTCTAATTATTTTATTATTTTTTATTTAATTCCCAGCTCGTAGTTCTACCTTGTTTTTGTTTTTATTTTTAGCTTTACCTTACTTTTTCAAAAATCAATTTTTAAATTTAGCTATTTTTTTATTGATCTATTTATTTGGAGTCTCAATAATTTACTTATTTTTTATAAAAAGAAAAATTAAAAATAGTATTGAGAATAAAAAGAATAAAAACTTTATTCCTTCACGATTTCCATTAGAATTCGAATCACATCCTTATTTACTACAATTTTTATCGAATAAGAATATTAATGAGACATTTGATAATTACAAAAATACCACTATCATATTTCTAAGTAATTAAAAATATATTATATAAATAGTATTTAATTTTAATTTAAAATTAAAACAATAAAAGGCAATAATAAATTAAAATTATGCCTAACTAATAAATTATTATTGTAATATTTTATTTGATATTAATAAATAATAGCTACCTACCCTAAATTCAAATTAATTTTTTTTTTAAATCAATCTACACCTCAACTTTGTTAAAAAAAAATTATGAGTTTTTTAAATTTAATATTTTTTTAAAATAATATATTATCTCGTATTTAAGAATCTATAAAAATTGAACTAGACTTTTTTTTCCGTACAACAAAGATAAAATTGAGAGATTTGAATCTCTAACCTCAAATGGGTTGGACTAGTATATGTCGATTATGGTCGAGCTACGCCGATCAAATGGGAAAATCAATAAAATCAAACTGACCTAATCTAACCAACTTATGCATAAATAAAAGAAAATGTTCGGAGATTTGAATCTCTAACCTCAGATGAATTAGACTAATATACGTTGATTATTATTGAACTAGGCTACTCAAAAGAGAAAATCAGTAAAGTCGAGCCGACCTAAACGAACCAACAAATATTTGAGGTAAAAAGGTAAAAGTCGTTCTTTATATAGGGAAATGAAAAACTAGCCAAAAAAAAAAAAAGTTTATACAAATAAAAAAAGTAAGTAAAAAGTGAAGAAATGGGGAATATTTCTTCTATCTTAATAAAGTTGTTCTCTCTTGTCATGCAACCATCTCCACCTGCCAAAATAATAATAATAATTAAATAATTAATATAAAAATATTATATAAATTAACAGAATCTAATTCTTTTTTAACTTTTTAATTACTCTCCATCAAACTGAAACCATATAATTATTAAAGAATCTAATTCTTCTTTTATCTTGTTTGTTTGTTTGTTTTTTTTTTTTTTTAAATATGTATAAGCAATTTTATTAATTAAAAAATTGTATTTCAAGTGCTTTAAAGTATAAAATTTAACCTATCTTAGAAAACGTACCAATAGTAGTCCCATCTTGGTCGAACTTTGGTCATCCGGTTGTGACCATAAGGGTAGTCGGTCTCGGCCCTCTTGGTGTTACGGAAGGCACAGCAGCCGACAGAGTAAACGCCGATGAGGAGGACGACAACGACGACGTTGAGGACGGAGAGCTTGTGCCAGTCCCTTCGAATGTCCTCAAGGACACCCGCCTTACAAGAGTCGCACTCGTAGCACAGCAAGTTAGGGGCATTGTTCCACCGGTAGCAATCGGGATCCTGAGCCACCACCGCCCCCGCCGCCATCATGTCGTAGTTGCACGCCGTTGGCGGCTTGCAACAACCTGACTGTCGACATAAATTTCCTTTTTAAAAAAAATATAATAATAATTATGTATCTCAATTTCTTGTTATAATTATAGCCGGTCATTGTTATATATATTCTTGCATACAAATTATTTTTACCATTTAATTCATTTCAACGAAAATTTACGACTAATGCAACTAAAATTTACTACTAACTCTAAGAATTATTGTGTAATAACTCAAGCCCATAGCTAGTAGAAACTGTTCACTTTAATTTGATAAGTATTGTTGTCAGTCTCGTGAATTTAAAAACGCGTCTATTCGTGAGAGGTTTCCACATGTTTATAAGAAATATTTCGTTTCCTTTTCCAACCGATATGAGATATCACACTCCACCCTTTTGTGGGCTCAAAGTCTTCACGTGGAATCTCACACCCCACCCCTTTGATGGCCCAACATTCTCGCTAGCACACCGTTCGATACTTGACTTTGGGATCAAAGCCACTCTGAGTAGTATGTGAGCGAGGATGCCAGGCCCTCAAGGGAGTAGATTGTGAGAGGTTTCCACACTCGATAACAAATATTTCATTCCCCTCTCCAACCGATTTAGAATTTCACAATCCACCCCCTCAAGAACCCAACATCCTCACGTGGGATCTCACAACTCATCCCCCTGAGGGCCCAGTATCCTCCATTGCACACCATTCAGTACTTGAATTTGGTATCAGAGCCAGTTACTAAGCGGTGTGTGAGCGAGGATGCTAGACCCTCAAATGGGTGGATTGTGAGATCCCACATCAGTTAGAGAAGAGAACGAAACATTCCTTACAAAATGTAAAAACCTTTTTCCAACAGACGCAGACAGCTATACGTAACGAGCCATTAAAAAAAATAAAAGCATCACCTGAATCGGGGTCATATCTCTTTCAAGATAATCAAGAGGAGTCCAAGAAGCAAGCTTAGCACAAGTTTTAGACCCCAAAACACAGCTCCTAATAGTAACCCAATACCTCGGATCCTTAACCCTCTTCCTCAACCAACCCGAATATTGCTCCAAATGGTACTCTCTATACACCCTCCCACCAGGCGCCTCCACTCCACCGCCAGGCCCAGTAACCACAAACCCAAAAATCGTCAGGCCCATAAGCGTCGCAATTAGAACCAACATAACCACCAAGTAAACCCATAGCGCCCACGCAACGTTAAAACAAGCACCAATGAACCCCGCCAAAGACACCACCAGTACCACGAACCCCACCACCAGCAGCGGCGTCTGCAAGAAGCTCTCGCACGTCGTGCTGCTTCTCGCCATCCACAGCCCGCCGCCGATGATCGGGATCGAGGCTATGAGCGTGAACAGGTTCAAGAACCCGATCACCGTGTTGCTGAATCGATACATACCGGAGCTTTTGGGGTTCCCTTTTGTGCAATTTGGTTGGTCGTGTGTGTTTTTAAAGTGGCGTTGGTCTGAATCAGCATGTGATAAAGACTCGAACTCTGCTTCTTACACATTAAGGAAACCCTTTTTCAATGCTTTAAATTAAAAAAATTTGGATATTTTTTAATTTTTTTTTTTATGCACTAATGTGTTTATCTTTACCATTCCAACCATAATCAATAAAAATTTCTCGTGACCCGAGAGAAGATACTACTTTATATATTAAAAAAAAACGCCTTTTTAAAATTTATTTTGATATATATATATATTATATACATACAAAATATTAATTTTTAATTTTTTTTTAAAAAAAGAAAAAAATTAAGAATATAAAGTGCTTTTTCTTAGTGGAAGATTTGGTCCGAATTTTGTTTGCTTTTTTTAATTGGGCGCCGTTTGGCTTCTACAAGAAGCGTAATCCAAACGAGAATTAGTTTATTCGTGAGTGGAATAGAATATTGGCGTTTCTTTGATCTTTTTTGAACCATTGGTTCAATGGGTTTGTGTGATTCACTTTGCCACTCCACTAACCATTGCCTTGATTTGTTTGTTGATGATACCAATAATTAGGGCAAGGTAATGATGCCTTATTTTGGATGCTTCCGTTCTTCGTGTTCTTCGTTATCATATGATTATCTTATCATTTGTGGACGCATTTTTCTAAAGTCGATTGCTATCATAATGTCAAAAGATATTCCATTATCGTTTATTACATTATTTAAGATTGTCATTGTCGAATTTGAACTTTAAAATATGCTTTATAATATAATCAGGTAAGTATGAGAGAACGAGTTACCTCGAGAAGGTGTTTGTTTTCTTTCTTTTCAACAATCTTGTGGGTGAGAATAAAATGTAAACGGGTTGTACCTAAAAAAATCGACAGGTTCTTTAGAGCCGAGAAAAATAAACTGGATAAGGGAATCTCTAAGCCTTGATATTCATCAAAGACAGGGTTTATGATTATAACTGCTCAAACCCACTACTAATAGATATTGTCCACTTTGGCCCGTTACATGTCAAGCTCAATGTTTTAAAACTTGTCTGCTATGGAGAGATTCTCACATCCTTAATTTATTTTCCTATCCAATTGACGTGAAATCTCACAAAAATTTATGTTATTGTGGTTAGATAAAACATATACGACCCTTCAATAGCCCAACAGATTAGAGTCGACAAGTGTGCCAAAAGGAAATCCTTTCCTTTCATCATTTTTTCCTTATGGAAGCAGCTCAAACAAAACATATCCATCAGTTTCAGAACGTTCGGGGTCCAAAATACGAAGCTAAAACGAACCGAAACCGAAATTTTGGGTGTCTAAGTGTCTAGCTAATATGGCAGATCAACCTTTTGTAGACATTCAATCTTGTCAAAGAATCAAGCAAATTACATGACGTTACCTTATTCAACACGTTTGAAACTTCTTCATAAAACATAACAGAATATGAAGAACGAAGAACTAATAAGATAAGAATGGTGATATTCAAAGCAAAAACAATAGCACTCGAGATGAATGCTTCTCACAATCTAGTCTCGTCTCGTCTCGAGATCTTCTGTACATAAATTGTTCTATTCTTCTTTCGCTGTAAATATGATTACAACAATCTTCACGATCGTGGCAGGGGCTTATTCTCCAAGAACGATCGGAAAAGAATGAACGCTTGGCGAGGGCGATGAAGCGGAACCTCATGCCCCGCTCCAGCCACGGTAACGAACGTCAGCCCTTTGTAGATTTGGCACCACCCACCTACCTATATCCCCATAAAGCTAGCTTGTAATGCAGAACCAACCATTATAATAACACATTACAGCAAAGAGTCTTTCCACCAAGAGACAGGAACTAAGTAAAATACACAGAATAAAGTAAGATGATAATAATGGTTGCTGTTATCATGATTGGGTTAGGTTGCAAATCCTAAAATAATATCTTCTTTTCACTAAAGTTAAAGGGGGAAAGAAGGAGAAGCAATGGTAGTGGTACTAATTATGAAGCTTTGTTTTAGAAAACTATCTTCACAAGGACAAGCAATGCTTCAAGTTCAGTCTATAAAGCTAGAAATGCTTCTTGTTTTAACAACTAACCTTTCCATGGTCATACCAAGGGTACCAGTTGCTTAACGTTCGGAGGTTTAAAGCATCGATAGAGTATCGTGTTGCTGTCACGGGAACCACTGAATCAGTGTCTCCACTGGAGGGGGAAAATTCATCACAATTAATAAGTTTAGTCCTGAAAATTATGTTTTGAATAGAAGAATAAAAATAAACAATTCCACAAACTAGCAGTTAACGACGCTGCTCTTTTAGCAAGTTTCGACTTGGTGGATGTGAAGTGTGAGATCCTACATTTGGGGAGGAGAACGAAGCATTCTTTATAAGAGTGTGGAAATCTCTCCCTAGCAGACGTGTTTTAAAAACTTTGAGGGGAAGCCCGAAAGAGAAAATCCAAAAAGGACAATATCTGCTAGCGGTAGGTTTGAGCTGTTACATGAACCATTAGACAGACAAGAACTTCTTTATCCTAAACTTTTCGACTTTTGGTTTGTCCTCTATTCGATATTTTAATTTTAATGCATCCTTTAAACAAGTATTGACAATTGCTTCACAACAAACACTGTTTTGTGGACCTTTTCCTAATGTTATTGTAACAACCCAAGTCTACCACTAGCAGATATTGTCCACTTTGGCCCATTGCGAATCGCCGTCAGCCTCACAGTTTTAAAACACATTTGACAGGGAGAGGTTTCCACACTCTTATAAGAAATACTTCGTTCCTTTCTCCAACCGATGTGGGTTCTCACAATCCATCCCCACTGGGGGCCTAGTGTCCTCACTGACACATCGCCTGGTGTCTGGCTCTGATACCATTTGTAACAGCTCAAGTCCACCGCTAACAGATTTGTCTGCTTTGGGCCAGTTACGTATCGTCGTCAGCCTCACGGGTTTAAAACGCGTCTATTAGGGAGAGGTTTCCATACCCTTATAAGGAATGTTTCGTTCCCCACTCCAACCGATGTGGGATCTCACAATCCACCCCCATGGGAGCCCAGAGTCCTCGTTGGCACACCGCCTGGTGTCTGGTTCTGATACCATTTGTAACAGCCCAAGTCCACCGTTAGCAGATTTGTCCGCTTTGGCCCGTTACGTATCGCCGTCAACCTCACAGTTTTAAAACGCATATGTTGGAGGGAGGTTTCTACACCCTTATTAAGGATTGCTTCACTACCCTCTCCAATCGACGTGGGATCTCACAGTTAGCGAAGCCCAACACTAGCAAAGTGTGTTTAAATAAATTCACAAACAGATGCCAGATAGATAACTTCTCATCATTCAAACTGCAGAAATACTCTAGCATTCACTACTTCATGCTGCTTCAACGGGAGGGGTTGATATACATACATAGCACACAGCACAGAATCAATAGAATTTGCAGAGAGCTCTTATTAGTAGATAAAACCAGGCTCCATCAGAGCAATATCCAACTATATCAGGTAGAGCTAGAAAAGAAATGTACTACCTGAATGCCCAAATTCTGAGACCAGCACCAATCAATTCTTGATATATTGGAAGCATAGAAAGCGGAGAATCGGCCCAGTAGCTTCCCACAAGATCACTATAAATTCGAGTATTCAAAACGTTAAGCATGCGCCCGAATAAAAGAACGACCTTACATATGCCATATAACACTAACCTGCATGTACTCCATGGGTAAGTTATCCCAGTAACATTAGCATGTAATGCCTTCTGAACATCAGGGTGATTGAAGTACACTACGGAATGCCTCTCCGTGCAGGGATCATAGGCTCTCGACATCCATGGCTGAATTTAATGTAAAAGATCAATATCAACAAAAATCTCGCAACGGTCGAAAAGGCCAAATCGGATCTAGATTCTTGCAAAATCTGACAGCACGTAGTGTTTTTCGAGAAGATTTAACGTACTTACATAATGGCCCCTTCGGTTATGTCTCAAAGATGCAGTACTATTGCATGGACGAGTGTAAATGCTATACGGATCGATATTTCCTTGTTCAAACTCAGCAACTGTAAGAGCTTTCTTGCATTCTGCTGACGGGTGCTGAGAGGATCCAAAATCACAAGAACGTCGCAGCAGACGATACGTAGAATCAGATATCAGACCGTGAGTCCACCAATACTCAAATGTGCCAACATAATCGTGGTAGTCATCCGTAACAGCATTCCCCACCTAAAAAGGAGAAGCAAGACGAAGATTCGTAAAGCCATTGAGCAATAGTTGATTAAAATAAACATCTCTCAGTTAAACGCATCAACAACAATGTTGTCGACTCGAATTCGTTACCATAAATCCCTTTAAATTTATGACCGGGTTCTGAATTCCCGTGTTTCTTTCATAAATTAATTGTGATAGCTGAGGAACATAATGACCTGAACCAGAAGATAGATTGATATCAAGTTTCAAATAGACATTAGTTCTTGGAAGTAGAGAATGCAGAGAAACTCCATACCTGCATAACTCTCTCCAGTAATGTAGAAATCCCTGTGCTTGTACTGCGGAAACCTTTCGAACCAGTTCACTAAAAATCTATATGAATCTTCAGCTGAAGTTTACAACAAAAAAACATCCAAATCATCTTAACATTTCATTGTTCATAGTTCAAGTAAATGTTTCTTAATCTGTAATTCAATGAGACCATGTCAATTCAGAAACTACCTGTTTTCTGGTCACCTGCAGTGTACAAATCCGAGGTAGTATTCGAGTAAGAAAAGCCAACACCAGCTGGGGATTCAAGGAACAGCAAATTTGCCACTGCAATGGATGAAACGAGATAACATTAGTTGTTTGCATACAAGTAGATTAAGAAGGCTAAACAACCCGACAAACGTACAATTGTTCCAAGCAAACGGATTTGAGTAAAGAGTCCTCCCGTCTGGCTTAATGTGGAACGGTCCAATTTCTTCAGCTGCTCCATAGGCAACAGAAGAGCAACCAGGGCCACCATTCAGCCACAATACAAGAGGTCTTGACTCAGGTACACGGCTAGCTGGTGTCTCAGCCAGCCAATAAAACAATGCCCTCCCAGCTTGCTTATCTACAGTAACATAGCCAGAATACTGAGCAAAATCCACATTCTTTGGCTGCCCTGGTAATTGGGTGATTCTATCTCTATCTTGCTCAGCATTATACGATCCATGGGAGACTCCCACGAAAGAAAGAAGGCAAAATAGATAGAAAAACGAGTGACCCATTGTCACAAATGACAATAAATGGAAGTTTCTTAGCTTACAGAATTGGGATCTTGAGATTGATGATGAAAAAACAAGTCAAAAACTCAGATCCCAGAATAGCTCATGCTTCTGGGTCCTCACAGAATTGATCCTAGAGAGTAGATAAGACACGAACATATAGACTGTTCAGTCAAATTCGTTGAAATCCGTGTCGTTTTTTTCAGTAAATCATGGTCAGCATTGGCCTGAAAGTGATTTGTTGTAATGAACAGTGTCTTTAAATGGGTTGTTCGTCAAACAACCGCCTCTTATTAGATTGAATTTTGTTTGCTTCAGTCAGGCAACTTGGTAGAACAGAGGCAGCACATGGGGTTGCCTTAATTAAAGCTTCGACGCCGATGAATTTACTACCATATTCAATTCCAACAAACACCCAGAAAAATGAATCCAAAAAATCAAACGAGTGAATGCTGATAAGAACATTGTTTTGAATGATGCATGCGGTGAGATCTTCAAGTACACGGGTTTACAGTAACTGACTCAATTACTAATGAGAAGAATGGATGAAAAAAAGAGAGGGAAAAACGACAGGAACGTAAGAATCAAAGGGGGGAAAAAGTGGGGAACATAAAAGTAGACTAACAGATGCTTCCGGCAGTGAAGTGTGCAGTGTACTGGAGCTGCTGCTGCTGCTGCAGCAATGGTGGGTGGGCGGTGGTCCATTGAAAGCTGCTCCAGAAACGAAGGACGGGACGGGATGGGTTCAATTTTTACTGCCAAATCCACTTCCTCCCATTTACTTCCTTTTAGATGAACACTTTCAGCGTAGGAGCAGCTCTTATCTATCCTATCAATACAATCCTAAAATTTCGAATGAAAGTAGCGTGAGGCTCGAAGGTATAATAAAACATGATTAAGACTCTAAAAGAAAATGAGTCGAGCCTCATAAGGGAGGCGTACTTTGTTCGAGGAGACGTGTTGGAAGAAAGTTCACATCGTCTAATTTAAGAAATGATCCTTTGAGTTTATAATCAAATAATACTATCTCCATTAGTACGATAACTTTTGGAAAGTCCAAAGCAAAAACTAAAGAGTTATGTTTAAAGTGGACAATATGATACGACTGTGGAAAGTCGTATTCATCTAATACTTTTAACTCTTTAATATTTATAATTATAAAAAAATTAGAATTAGTGTTTATAATTTAAAAATATTACGTAAATTTAAGGATAGATTAATAAAAATATATATATTAATATATATAAGTTTGTTTGTATTCTATGGACTTTTGGGCCAAAATGCTTAGGCCCACTTGATGGACCTTTGTACCTTGTTGGTTCTTTTTTAAGCCCGAACCATTTTAAGGATACCAACTCATAATAGATAACATTCGAACTCACATTTCGCACGAGCTCATTCGAGGTTTTTCTTTTTTTTTCTCCAAACGTTGCAACACGATAACTCGTAATTTCATCAAACATGTTCAAACAACGTACTTAATTGGAATATCGTTAGAAATCTACTTGTCGTGAGTGAGTGACACGGTTGTAAATTAACTCTTTTTACTTATTATTTGTCTCGACTGTATACTAGTTTGTTGACAGATGAGTAATATTGTTGTAAGAGACTGTAATAATCTAATGGATTTAAGTATAATTTTAATCGAAATATTTAATGATTTGTTTCATTTTAATTTTTAATGTTTACTTTTAAATATGTATATTTAATTTATTTATTTTTAATAATTAATAATTTAGACATTTAATAGTCTAATAGATAAATTTAAATACTATTTTAAATACAAATAGGAAAATTATATATTTGAAAGTAAAAAGGACGAAAACGTAATTTTAAAAAGATAATAAAATTGATTAACCCAATGCACAAATAATGATTTATATATTTTGCACTTGGGGCACTAGCGTAATATTAAAACAATAAAGGGGCAAATATGAAAATCAAAAGTCAAAAGGAAACTTCGCGAAGGTAGAGGAATTTAATTTAATATTTATAAAGGGACGAGCCGCACGTAACCGACGGGCGCCGGAGACGGCGGGTAATAGATTCTTACGTCACTCGTGGAAGGAGAGACTCACTCGCTAGTAGGCGCGTGATCGACACGTACTTTTGTTTATTTATCTTGTCAAATTAATATATGGTTTTGTTAATTGTAACTGATTCCTCAACTTTGTTTTTACTCATAAGAGAATTCTACAATTTAAAAAAAAAAATATTTATTTAATTCTATAAAATGTAAAAAAAAAAAAAAGAAAATTTAAAATTAATTTTATATTATAATAGTTTAATTAATTTTTAACAAAATTTGTATTTTTACAATTATTATTTTCTTTACTTTTGGTGGGGAATAGTTCGAAACTTGAGAGTGGGTGCAGAGAGCACGTGCTCTGGTTTCGTGCCTTAAAACTGTTCACGTGACGATGACGTGGCAACTTATTTTATTGTCAATTCCGTCGTTTTGTGGTTTGACTCCGTCTATTAACGGGGGAAAACGGAATAAAAGGCCAATCTCTGTTGAAGGCGGGAAATGCTGAATTATAGCGAAAGTCATCCATTTTGGGTGGTAATGACGTAATTGTCCCTTGGATTAATTTTGTTCTTACTGATTTATAATAACTAAAAAGGAAAAAACATAAATTTTAAAAAGGAAAAAAAAAAAAATTAACTTCTCAACTTGTTTATTATCTTAATCCTAATTTTTAAAAATGATAATTTCAACATTAATAATATTTAATTATTAAAACCATAGAAGATTAGAGTTAAAAAGCCTATTTATTGAAATTTATGAATTTTTTTTATTAAAATTAATAAATTTATGAAAATTTTATGTTATGTTTAATTAAAATTAGTACATAAATCAACCTAATTTAAAAATTTAAAAATTAGACCTTATTTTTCCCAAGTTTATAAATTTCACATAGTTTTGTAAAATATATTTAAATTACAAGCTAAAATTTAAAAATAAAATAAAAATTTCAAAATTGTGTTTTATGTTTTGAAATTAGCTGAGAAAATAATATTTTTATGATTTTATTATAATATAAAATTAAAATTTAAAAATAGAGTTAAAAAAGAGTGGGGGTAGAGAAGGAAATAAGTTATAGATGCAGGGGCAATTTAGTAATAATGAAAGTAGAATGACGAGGACGGAAAAAAGAGAGAGAGAATAAAATACAGATATGGTGAGAGAAATATAAAGGAGGAAAATAACTTCTTTAAAAAAATAATTGATTTTCTTTTATTTTATTTCCCGGACTTGTAGTGTGATTGGAATGCAGTTAACAACCGCGTTGAGATCCGGATGCCTCTCTCTCTCGCTCTCTTTTTGCTCAAGGATCTATTTTGTTCCTTATCGTCTTGCTTGCGCGTTCTCTTTTGAAGCAGATTTTCCACCAGCCAAGAAAGAGAGATAAAGGAGTCACTAAGAAGATTGCTAACAAACCCTAGGGGAAGTGGAGGTGGAAGAAGAAGAAGAAGAAGAAGAAGAATTCTCTCTGTCATCGTGTTTTTCATCTGATTCAAGCCCTACAATTCATTTGCAGCGCCGAGGGTTGTGTATTTGGAGGCTTAAGGAAGGGGATATTGGTTGTGAGGGTTAGTTTGTGGGGGCTATTTGAGTCGGTGCTCAAGTTTTTTGAGCTTTTGTTTGTGTGATTATGTGCCTTGCGAACCACAGTTCTGGTTTGTGAGGTGGATGAAATTGGTTGCCCAGTTGTTGGAATTGGAATTGGAATTGGGTGTGGTGGTGGGGGCGAGGTGCTAGGGGTTTTTGTGTGTGTTTGTGGGGCATCCGTTGTTCGTTGATGCTCATGCAATTTTCTTGCTTTTCATGCCGCCAGAACCTTTGCCGTGGGACAGGAAAGACCTCTTTAAGGAGAGGAAACACGAGAAGTCGGAGGCCATAGGGTCTGCGACCAGATGGAGGGACTCTTATCATGGATCTCGCGAGTTCAATCGGTGGGGTTCTGCTGATTTTCGAAGACCTACTGGTGAGTTTTGATTTTACTCTATTGTTTCTCGTTTGAACTTCTTAGATCTCTGGTCGTCTAATAAGCAGGTTTCATTATCGTCGTTTTTTTTTGGTTAAAGCTTTGGTTTTATTCCTGCTCTGTGATTTTGCCACCTATCCCCCCAATCTGCCCGTATGTTTTTTTTTCTCTGCTGGTATTGATTATCTATGTCGTTCTTTATTTTCCCCCTGAAGGTCATGGTAAGCTGGGTGGTTGGCACCAGTTTTCTGAAGAAACCAGTCACGGTTACGGGCCTTCTCGGTCATTCAGTGACAGGGTGTTAGAAGATGAGAGCTTCCGGCCGTCAGTTCCTCGTGGAGATGGAAAATATAATAGAATCGGAAGAGAAAGTAGAGGTTCTTTTAGTCAGAGAGACTGGAGAGGTCACTCCAAGGAGAATAGCAAAGAATTCGGAAACCCATCCCGAAGGCCATCATCTCAGGATGCAAGTTCTGATCAGAGGTCATTAGATGATACGGTGACATATTCCTCTCCTCAATCTGATTTTGTGAGTGTGTCAGATAAAATTCACTCTAAGGACCGTAACGATAAGGTTGGTGGTGTTTATGGGTTAGGAAATGGCCCGAGGTCTGATGTCGAAGTTTCCCTCGGCTCCACTGATTGGAAGCCGCTTAAGTGGTCCAGATCTGGGAGTTTGTCTTCTCGAGGATCTGCTTACAGCAGTTCGACAAACTCAAAGAATGAAAAGACTGATTTACCTCGTAGAGTTGCATCTCCTTTACAAAGCCCTTCTACTGAAGCTACTGCCTGTTTGACATCTTCTCTGCCTTCTGAAGATGCAATTTCAAGGAAGAAGCCAAGGCTTGGATGGGGTGATGGATTAGCTAAGTATGAGAAGGAAAAAGTCGAGGTTCCTGATGGAAGTCTGAGAAAAGAAGTGACTGTTCTTTCCAGTAGTAGTGCTGAATTAACTCATTCACTTGGTTCAAACTTTGCTGAGAAAAGCCCCAAAACTTTGCCCTTTTCAGATTGTGCATCTCCTGCAACGCCATCCTCTTTTGCTTGCAGCTCATCATCAGGTGAGCCTTTTCCATTGAAAAAACTTTATAGACGTGATATTTTAGTGTCTTTAAGTGCTTTATACTTGTAATTAGTTTAGTGTGTGTGAAAATCATTACAATATTTATGCGTAACATATTCTTACAACATTTTTATTAATTCCTTAACCATTGTGCTAGGCTCAAGTTGGCATAGTCAATTTAAGATTTAAGAATGGGAAATGGGATTGTAATCTACTATCGATTTTTTTTTTGCATGGATTATGTGTGATGTTGGCTGTACTGCAGTTTTACTATGACACATGCAATTATTAGGTGGACATTTATGCATGTGCTGTTAAAGGTTTTGATGGTTGTAAAGAGAATTTTAATTGAACCTGGGCAAAGCAACTTGTATGCAGTAGAAACATTGAAGTGAAGGGTAAGAAGTTGGAATTAGCTGGTGGAGTTTGGTTCTGTGCACCTATATCGTGATAAACTTTAAGTATTAGGCTTGCATTAATTTCTCATATATTGGACTTCTTATTTCTTTTCCATCAACTTATGAATCTCGTTATTAAACTAGGAACAATTGGTTTCTGTTAAGGTTTATGGGTAGTTTCTCTCTGATTTAGCTGTAGACCTTTTCGTTTCCTGTTTTTTGTAACTACCTTGGCACAAAACTTTTTATTACCTAATACATTCCTTCCAGAACACTCTAATTATAATTTCCCGATCAATTGTGGTCCTTCGATATTGTGATTCAGGGTTTTTTTTGGTAATATCTTCCCCATAGCCCCTGTTGGTTTGGTTGCGTTTTGTGGGGTTGCTTTTGTTTTTCTCTTTGTTTGCTGAATTGTAGTTGCCTCAAATCTAGAAGAAAGTAGTTGGGTGGGTACTTTTAGTAGCCTTTCGTGATTATGAGTGAAGAAGTATATACTTGAATTTCAATTTTAGAAGTTGTAGTATCCGTTTTATTTCTTTCTTTCTTGCCTCTGTATATGCTGAACAATTTTTTTTATTTCTTCTTTTTGAATTGAATTCAATAGGCTTGGAGGACAAACCATTTAGTAAGGCAGCAAGTGTTGATGGCATAATATGTAGTTCACCTGGGTCCAGTTCACAAAATCATCTTCAGAAATTATTTTCTAGTATAGAGAAGGTGGAGATTAGTTCAATTACTAATCTAGGATCGTCACTTGTTGAACTGTTTAATTCTGATGACCCAAATACAGTAGAATCATGTTTTGGGAAGTCTACATTGAATAAGCTGCTGGCATATAAAGGTGAAATTTCAAAGACATTGGAAACAACGGAGTCTGAAATTGATTTTCTTGAAAATGAACTTAAGTCCTTGAAATCTGAAAACGGAGGGAATGTTTCTCATCCAAAATCTTGCAGTGCCGTGCATTTGGTGGAGAGCGTGCCATATTTCAAAGAACAAGATGGTGTCTCTTGTATTGCCTCTCGTCCTGCTCCCTTGAAAATAGTATCTTCTTCTGATGCAACAGTTGAGAAAATGCCAGTCTGCATTGGTGACAAGGGAATTGAAGATGTTGGTACAAAGGCTGATGAAATTGATAGTCCTGGAACTGTGACATCAAAATTTAACGAACCATCTCGAGTAGTAAAGGCTGTTGCATCTAATCTTGTGGAAAATGACCATTGTTCTGAAGCTACAGATTCAATTGTACCTGACAAGATGGAAGGAAGTTTTAAAAAATCTGGGCCCTTTGTTGATGAACATTTAACAATTGGCTCTGGTAATGAATGCATTCTTGCTAAGAGTTGTACCAGTGAATCCATTTATGGTGATTTGACGACCCAAGCTAATTGTGGATCATCCTTCCGTGATCTAATTTTTGCACGTAATAAAGAATATGCAAGTAAAGCGACAGAAGTAATTTTTAAGGAATTACCAACAGAAATGTGCAAGATTAGCACTCAAAGCACCAAAATTGTCTCCTGCTTTGAGACCGAGAAACTCGTTAAAGAGAAAATTGCAATGAGGAGGCAGTTTTTAAAATTCAAGGAGAGTGCATTAACCCTTAGATTTAAAGCTTTGCAACACTCATGGAAAGAAGGGTTGCTGCATTCTGTGAAAAAAAGTCGCTCGAGGCCCCAAAAAAAGGAATTGAGTCTAAGGGTGACACATTCTGGCCATCAGAAGTACAGGTCTTCAATTCGCTCCCGTTTTGTACAGCATGGTAAGATTAGTTTCATCTTTCCTTCAGCTGATTACTTTTCTTTTCCACTCCAGACCTACAAATTTTTCCTATCTCAAACTAATTCTTCAAATGTCATATTTTCTATTTTTAATTAAAAATGATTTACCCTGTTTTTGTTGATGACCAAACTGCAATGTATTTGATTTTCTTTTAAAATTTAAATAAAATGCTAATGATGAAAATCTAGGGAATATTCTCATCTGCGATGATGTATCAAGCATTATTGTTTATTGAAACTTTAGTTTTCAATTAAAAAAAGCCAGCCTGTCTATACACTTCTTGTTGTGATTTACAATTAGTGGGAGCTGTTCTCTTTTTCTTGTATTTTATACTTCCTTATTTTCTGTTGTCAGCAGGTTGGTTTTAATTGGTGGATTGTGTTACTAGGCTTTTTATGTTCTATTAAGATTTGATTTCATTGCAAATTATGATAATATATATATATATATATATATATATATATATATATATATATATATATTTGGCATACAACATTTGAGTATTGACGATCCAGGTTATGTCACAACTTAAGAAAGCTTGATAAGGTTTAGTAAATGTGTTCAATATTTCCCTCGTGGCCAGAGAACTCAGATGGAACTTCTTCAAAAAGATACATGCATTTTTATCATTTATTTTGTTGGCAGTCTACGTTTTTTGACATCTTCAAAGTTGTCTGTGGGTCATTAGATTCAGAGCTCTGTAGTAGTTCGTGTTGATGAGTATATTTTCTTCTTCCCTTTTGTGATTGCTTGGTAGCCGACTATTAATCTATCTCATTTCTAAACTGGCACCGTTCTAGTATGTTGAATGGTTGAACACAATTCCATCGTAAATTTTTTCTCTATTAATCATGAAATGTCGTTATGATTTATGAATGCTTAAATTTTGATTTTTCAGGAGAGACTCAGAACCCTGTCATTAACTCTGAAATAGCTATTCGTTACTCCAGCAAGCTGCTGTTGAACCCACAAGTTAAGCTCTACAGGAATACTTTAAAGATGCCAGCTATGATTTTGGACAAGAATGAAAAGATGGCATTAAGGTTCATATCTCATAATGGGTTGGTTGAAGATCCCTGTGCTGTTGAGAAGGAAAGGAACATGATAAACCCTTGGACTTCAGCTGAGAGAGAGATATTCTGGGAGAAATTATCGTTGTTTGGAAAGGATTTTAGGAAAGTTTCTTCCTTTCTCGACCTCAAAACCACAGCAGACTGTATCCAGTTCTACTACAAAAATCATAAGTCTGATAGTTTTAAGAAGAATAAAAATTTGGAGTTGGGGAAGCAAGTGAAATCTTCTGCCGTCACATACATGCTAACATCAGGGAAAAAATGGAATCCGGACGTGAATGCTACTAACCTTGATATTTTAGGTGTTGCGTCAGAAATGGCCGCACAGGCAGATGGCAATATTGGAAACCAGCAAAATTGTAATCGTCATTTGGGCATGGGAGGGGATATTGGTTCAAAAGTATCATGGAGTGCTAGCACTCCTTCAAATAAAAACAATTTGGATGCTCTTCAGACTGAGAAAGAAACTGTTGCTGCTGATGTTCTTGCTGGTATATGTGGTTCAATATCTTCAGAGGCCCTGAGCTCTTGCATTACAAGTGCTATTGATCCCAGTGAGGACCACAAGGAGCGGAAGTGCCACAAGGTGGATTCTGCAACGAAATTTCCTTCTACGTCTGATGTCATGCAGAAAACTGATAATGAACCTTGTTCAGATGATAGTTCTGAGGATGTAGATTCTTCAAATTGGACAGATGAGGAAAAATCGATCTTAATGCAGGCTGTGTCGTCCTATGGTAAGGATTTTGATATGATATCAAGATGTGTCAGATCAAAGTCTAGGGACCAGTGCAAGGTTTTTTTCAGCAAAGCTCGGAAATGCCTTGGATTGGATTTGATACATAATTCTGGAGATGTAGGAACACCTGGGAGTGGTAATGATTCCAGTGGGAGTGGGACCGACACTGACGACCACTGTGTTGTGGAAACCTGTGGAGCCCGCAGCAGCGATGAATTTGTCTCCAAGTCGGTCAATGGCTTATCAACTTCTGTTATCATAAATCATGAAGAATCTGTTTCTGCTGTGACTGCCAACATGCGGAATAGTAGTGAATTTGAGGAAAGTACAGCTTTTGAACAGTTGGATGTTACAGGTGCTGAGGCTGTTGTAAACTTGGTTTCTGAGATTTCGAAGGAAGAGGATGTGCCCAATCTAGATTCTCATTCTGCCTGTAGTCTCACAAATGCTGCTGCTTTTCCAAGCCAGCCTGCACATGACCACAAAATTGAAGGCTGTTCTGAAAATACTGAAGCTTGCAAGCGCTGTAACGATCCTGACATTCTGAGACCTGAATCGGTGGCAACAGTAGATGAAAACTCAGCAGCTGTGAGTGAGAGCAGAGCTACAACGGAGCTTGCATTTGGAGGAGAAGAAGACGGAAGTGACACTAATTTACATGGGCAGAGTATGTTACAGCGCTCCGTTCAGGATTCGACTGGGTTTAATTCCAATCTTGATCTAGAGTCCTTGGGATTTGATCCACGAATTTCACATCCAAAAATTCTTAAAGTGGATTCTGTAGCGAACAAGTCTTGTATCAAGGATGAAAACTCTCTTGTCAGGAATTCTGGTCTTGGTGTCGTTGGAAGGGAAGAAATGCTTAACCAAGATATGTTTCCATCAACACTTGTTTTGCAGGGGGTTGGTGATGCTCACCAAAAACCTATGAATAGAGATGACTGTTCTGATCACCAAAATAGATTGTCGCGCCATATTGAATCATCTGAGTTCCCAAGCAGCTATCCTTTCAACAAACAAATTGTTGAGGACATAAATAGAAATATCAATCACACAGATTTTCCTGCTTTTCAAGGGCTGTCAAAGATCAATTGTAACGGTACATATGTTGTTGAGGACTGCTATCTTCAAAATTGTAACAGTTCCAAGGAGCCGTGCCACCGGGCGGCTGAACTTCCTCTTTTGCCTCAGAATGTAGAATTGGGTCATGATCATCAGAACACTTCATGCAGTGGCAATGCTTCCGATTCGGATGTTCCACGCAGTAAGGGTGATGTGAAACTGTTCGGTCAGATACTAAGTCATGCCCCTTCCCTGCAAAATTCGAGTTCTGGTTCTAATGATTGTGGAGATGAAAAGGAATTTCACAAGCTGAGGAAATCATACGATATGGGAGAAAATGTTCCGTTAAGGAGTTATGGTTTTTGGAATGGAAGCAGAATGCAGACTGGTCTGTCCGCATTGCCTGATTCTGCCATTTTACAGGCTAAATATCCTGCTGCATTCAGTGGCTACTCTTCAACGTCTCTTAAAACCGAACAGCAGCCATTGCGGGCACTTGCAAATAACGGTGACCGAAATCTTAATGAGCTGGTGTCAGCTTTTCCAACTAAGGATGGAGTGGTCGATTACCAATCATACAGAAGTCGAGATGGTGTCAACATGCGACCTTTCCCAGTCGATCTATTTTCCGAAATGCATAGAAGAAATGGCTACGATCCACTATCTTTATCGAGCTTACAGCAGCAGGGAAGGGTGGTTGTTGGAATGAATGTTGTTGGAAGGGGAGGGATTCTCATGGGTGGTTCTTGTACTGGTGTTTCAGATCCCGTGGCAGCCATTAAAATGCACTACGCAAAGTCCGATCAGTACGTCGGGCAACCTGGTAGCACGTTTACCAGAGAGGATGGGAGTTGGAGAGGGGGAGGCAATGGAGATTTAGGCAGCAGCAGGTAGCAGTAGATGTGCACTGGGGGGCCCCCTCACAATCGTTTGGGAGGAGATCCTCGCCTGTATCATATGATTAGTCTGTTTCAAGTTAAGAAGAAGTAGTAGGGTAGGAGTTGAAAATTGAACCAATGGGTTCTGAAAAATCCATCTTTTTGGTTGAAAGAAAAAAGAAAAGAAAAAGAAAAGAGGAAGAGATTTTAGGGGATTGTAATATTGTAGCAGTCTTCTGTATTTGTTGTATTTGATTGCAACACAGAAAATAATGTTCTAAAAACTGGGAGCGGCCATAGTCACACAGCTCTCTCCTCTCGTACAGGTCGAGCCTTCCCAACTTCGATAGCCTAACCTACCTGACTCCTGACATTCATTCACCCAGTGGAGGTTAGTAGTTTTGGTCAGCTTCTCCTTTGACCTTTTTTTTTTTTGGGTTCTTTTCTTTCTTTCTTTGTTTATCTTATACTAGTTTAGTTGTATTTGTAGGGTTTAGGAGTATTTTGTAGCATTTCCCTTATAATATATAGTCATCAAAATTTGTCCTGTATCATATTTCCTTGTCTGTCTGTATTTTAGATTTTGTATGACTAACGTGAAGAATGATTAATCTTTGCCAATGGGGTAAATTTTTTACTGCGCCTTTTACTTTCACTGTTGTATATAACCAATGAATGTGTGAGATATGAAGAATTTTTAACTCTTTTCTGGGGTTTGTGGCTGGAGAAATATAGAAGGCTATAAGTTTTCGTCTTTTGCGTGCCTTTTACTTTCACTGTTATAACCAATGAATGTGTGATTTGAACCCTTTAGTGGGGTTTGTGGCTGAAGAGATATAGAAGGCTTCTTGAAGATAAGTCTTGTCTTTCGAGTATTTTACTCGGGATCGTGTACACGAATGATTAATTTGCCAATGGGGTGAATTTTTTACTGTGCCTTTTACTTTCACTTATGTAACCAATGAATGTGTTGTGTGAGAAATGAGAACTTTTAACACTTTTGTGGATTTGTGGCTGGAGAAATATATATAGAAGATAAGTCTCGTCTTTCGAGTATTTTACTCGAGATCGTGTACAGGAAATTCTTCGTCGATCGTGTAAAAGAATTTCTTCGAGTGGTGGATATAACTTGTTGGGTCCATTGAATAAATTCTCTTCTGGTGGAACTAGTTCAGCAAACTATCGTTGATTAAGACATGAATTTAAAATTATTTTTCAATATTTTTTAGAAGTAATTATTAAAAAGAAAAAAAAGATTTAACACCTTTGTAGGTCAACGAATAATTAATTTATGAATGAGAATTCTAGGGTGGGCCAGCAAATCGACAAGCAAACGTGGCATAACGTCATAGTAAGTTTCCTTGTGTGTATATATTCCCAAATATTTATTAATTTTTTTTCGAACTACCTGTTTTATTTTCCAAGGGTTGACTAAATTTTTAAAAATCAAAGTTTCCGAATAATAATTAAACATAAAAGCACAAAACAAATTTATTATGCTTGTTTGGAGATACAAAATTTTAAACAAATAAATTTCTTAAATTAAACCATAAAATTCCAAATGACTCGGTTATACACACATATATATATATACTTAATTTTGAACCTCTTTTTAAAAAATTAAAAAAAAAATACTCTTAATTAGTAATGCTTTTAAAAAAAAATATTACATCGGACATGTATGGTTTAAAAACTTTAATTTTTTTAAAAGAATATTAATTAAACTTAGGGTATTATTGAAATTTTAGAAAGTAATATATATATAATTTTGAATTCTTTTAAAAAAATTTAAAAAATATTTATGAAATTTGAAAAGTAACATTAAAAAAAAGTTTAAAGAATCTGAGGGGTGAATAGATGGTTTTCGTCAACAATATCTATAATTTTTTAAAAAGTGTAAATGCTACTTTTAAAATTTTATAATTATTTTTAAAACGTATTTGAAATTTTTTTAAATTTTTTAAAAAGGTTTTAGGTATTTTAATTAATTTATCTCTAAACGACTGTTTTAATAATCTGCTTATTTAAGTATATTTCCAATTTTGGGATGGAATTTGACGTCCCAAATAATATTCTAAGTTAAAACAATGCAATAAGTCAACTTTTATAAACAAATAAACAAATCGTAACAATATTTGTTATTTAAATATGATAAAATATTCCAATGTCAATCAAATATTTCCTCTGCTTACACCTGATTTCTTCTGGTTTCTCTCTCAACATCCCTTCCACCTTCTCCCCCTCCCTGTATTCGCTCTCCACACGCCTTCTTATCGTTTTCTTTCAGATATTTGTTTTCTTCGACACAAATTTTCGCTTACGATTCACCACGATTTGGGACCTCATGCATAGGTATTGAAATCATTTCTCCTTTCTTGTGCTTCTTCTTTGTTTCTTCCGCTCTCGAGTCTTGATTTTCGATGTATGCTGATCATTCTTTGGTTGAGATTCTGCAGTTTTGTGATATTAGGTGTTGTGTTTATTATTGATATATATAATGTTTTACTAGAGATTTATTGTTTTTGTACGTGATTTGATGAACTATCTCTATCTATGAATCATTTAATGGAAAGTTAATTCGACATGCCGTAATTTGCCTTGTTTTTACTTTTTAAGCAATACATTTCGAATATATGGTGTTTTGATTTCATTTTGGTTTGGAGATTCATCTGTTCTTCTCTCCCTGCTACCAGATAAAGAGAAAGAAGGCATATGAATAACTAGGAAATGGGGAAGAAAGGGAGTTGTTTCTTTGGAGTGAGGAAAGTTCTCAGTCACCATCATGAGAAGAAAGACAAGGTTTGAATGGAGCTACTTCTGTTGAGATATATTCTTCACTGTTTTACAATCATATGGAAATCTGCCCTAAACTGTGATTATATTATTTCAACAGAAACCAAACAAGTGTAAGAATAAATGGTTCCAAGAGGAGGAGAGTGTGGATGTGATTTCCTTTTTGGAACAATCCCAATTGGAGGTTCTTGCACAGCCTCCTATGAAAGAAACAAGCGAGCTTGCGCATTTGGAGGCTGCGGAGCCTTCTCTTGCTGAAGCTCAGCTGGCTGTGGAGGTTGAATATCCACCTAGTTTTATCCCTCGTCGGCCAGAGATGTCGGAGGAAACAGCTGCTATTATGATTCAAGCTGCGTTTCGTGGATATACGGTATGCTCCAGTTTACATTGCGGTATTTGTTAGAAATCACGAACCTCTAAAATGGTATGATATTGTCCACTTTGGAAAAGACCTCATACCAATGGAGATAGTATTCCTTACTTATAAATCTATGATCTTCCTCTTAATTAGCCAACGTGAAACTACTTCTTTCAATAATCCTCAACAATCCTCCCCTTGAACAAATTACACCGTAGAGCCTCCCCTGAAGTTTTCTTCTCTGGAGCTCTTGAACAACCTTTCCTTAATCGAGGCTCGACTCCTTCTCTAGAGCCCTCGAACAAACGAAGTACACCGTTTGTTCGACGTAGTATTAATATCTTTTAGCGATTAGAAACATCAGTAACTGTTGTCCATGAGTTTAAGATTATTTGTTCTTTTTAAAAACTGTTTCCACCTATTGGTAGTTCAAGAAATTTATAGAATTCACAACCAAGTTTTATTTGGAGTTGTATATCGATTGGTCGTACCTTTATTTTCTGCAGAAGGGGTTCATTGTTTCTTCAAAACAAGTTCTTTTGAGCACAATAGCTTTGAACTTTGGTGATGTATCGGCTGAAAATCCAATTGTACATCAGCCAAGAGGCTTATTTATAGTCAATGTTGCTCATTATTGAGAAATGAGAACCTTAAATGTTGGAGTTTTAAGCTCATTCTTTTTGCTGTTCCTATTGAAATTTCATGAAAGTATTTCTTGTTATCATTCAACTCTGTCCTGGATTTTGAAGAGTTTTTCTTCTACTGGATACAAACAAGCATCGGTAATGATTTGCATCATGGTTTTCCCCGAGTGTTTTGCATTTCAGAAATGAAATGTATGAACGATTCTTTTGCATTTCTCAATACAGGCACGGAGAGCATTGAGAGCTCTCAAAGCGTCGATGAGATTGAAGGCGTTGGCACAAGGGCAGTCTGTCAAACGGCAAGTGGCCCATACTTTAAAATACATGCAGACCATTACTCATTTACAGGCAGAGATTCATAAGAGGAGAATAAGAATGTCCGAAGAAAATCGGGCTCTTCATCGGCAACTTTATAAGAAACGTGAGAAACATGTCGAGAAGTTAAAATCTTCTGTAAGTTCTCCTTTGTTCCAACTTTTTGGTTGTATATAACTGTGGTTTCTGTAGTGCTTGTATAAACAAGTCTGTCGCTGTGCTGTCCAATTATGAACTTGTGGCCCCTGTATTACAATTACCTTTCTGGTCATTACTCGAATACGTTGTTTCGGTTGCTACTTGTTCGTGGTCTTTGTATATACATATGCATGCTTCCATCCATACATGTAGTATACAACCCAGATTTGAAGGTTCAAGCCTAAACTAAAGGTCTAATTATCATCATGCTGATCTTTTTTTCTTTTCTTTCTAGTTTCTTATTTTTGTTTAACAGTAAAGTGTCATTCATCCAAGTGTTGGTCATTGTAGTAACTTCATGTATATATCATTGTAACGATTGCTTTTCCCCTACCCTCCTTTCTGCCTCCTGCATTTATCTAAGAATCAAACTTAGCGTAGTGTAAATGTGTATTTGTTGAAAACAATGGCGTCCTCCATGACTTGCATTACAGATGGACAATGACTGGAATCACAGCACCCAATCTAAGGCACAAATTGAAGCTAAATTATTGAACAAGCAAGTAGGTGCACTTAGAAGAGAAAGGGCTCTGGCTTATGCTTACTCTCATCAGGTACCACATGTTTTTCTTTATCCCGTAGTATGTGCTTGCTGAGTTTAATTCATAACTCTGGAACACAATGATTTTATTGGTCCGAACTTAGTGGACACCTGCTGAATTAATGTAATAGTCCAAGCCTACCGCTCGCAAATATTGTCTTTTTTGGGCTTTCCTTTCTAGACTTCTCCTCAAGGTTTTAAAACGCGTCTGCTAGGAAAAGGTTTTTACACCCTTTTAAGGAATGTTTCGTTCTCCTCCCCAACTGATATGGGATCTCACAATCCACCCTCTTCGGGGTCTAGCGTCCTTGCTGACACAAAGTCTCGTGTCCACCCTCCTTTGATGCTCAGCCTCCTCGTTGACACATCGCTCGGTATTTGGTTTGATACCATTTGTAACAACTCAAGCTCACACCGTTAGTAGATATTGTCCTCTTTGGGCTTTTCCTTCTAGGCTTCTCCTCAAGGTTTTAAAACGCGTCTTCTAGGGAGAGGTTTTCACACCCTTGTAAAGAATTCTTCGTTCTCCTCCCCAACCGATGTGGGATCTCACGGTTGAAGGGTACTTCAAAAAGTCCATATAATTTGCAATCCTGATGGTATTCAATCGTTATGTAATCGCCTTAGTTCTATGATTCTGCTGAATGTATTTCTTTTTGATAGAAAGAAGTTGCTAATGTCAATAGGATATCTCACTGCACTAGCTTTCTCTACAAGGTAGCTTTTAGAAAATCTCTTGTAGGTACCATTAGCTACTCCCTGCAGTTTTGTTCTGCTCGTAGTAGGATTGTTTTTCAAAT